GTGCGGCTGCGCGTCCTCCTGATAGCTCCAGAGCGTACGAGCGCAGCTTGGTTCCCGACCATGGTTCAGCTGCTGGCGGGGGATCCCTGGCAGCTCCCCTGGCAGGGAGACGCACTCTTTCAGCTGGACGGCGAGATCCAGCAGTTCCCCATGATAGGTCAGCGGCTGTGGGCCTGGCCCCTGAACGGGAACGACTGGAGAGCATAGGATTGCCTCCAGCGGTGGTGCACACTATTCAGTACGCCAGCGCTCAGTCAACAACGGCGTATGCCGCCGCCATCTCATCATGCCATGAAGGTTAAAGGTGAAAGAACCGTATTTGCACACACCCACTGGTAAAATGTTTTCCCAGGGGTGTGTGCAGACTGAGACCTGTGATGCGCACAATGGTGCCACAGTGGAATCTGCCTCTGGCTTTACGCGCGCTCAGCCAGCCTCCTTTTGAGCCCATGGCACACATCTCTCTCAAAAACCTCTCCCTGAAGACAGCGCTTCTCCTTGCCGTGACCTCGGCCAAGCGTGTGGGCGATCTGTGTGCGCTTTCTGTCTCACCGGCGTGCCTCCTAATCCACGGGGACGGCAGCACGGCTGTTCTCAGACCGAACCCCGAGTATGCACCTAAAATAATCTCATCCACCTATCGATCCAGGGTTATTTCCCTGGAGGGGGTTCTTCCCTCCTCCTCACAAGGACGAGTCGGAGAGGAACCTCCACACCCTCTGCCCGGTGCGCGCTCTGTCCCACTACGTGGGGCGCACGGCAGCTGTCCGACAGACACAACAGCTGTTTGTGCATTACAAAGGCAGCTCTCTCGGGCAGCCTCTGACAAAACAACGGCTATCCCACTGGCTGTGTGAAGCTATTACACAGGCTTATGTGACGGGCAGGAGCGACCCCCCACCTGACATCAGAGCCCATTCTACGTGGGCCATCGCGTCCTCCACTGCCCTTTTTAGAGGCATGGCTGTGGAGGATATCTGCACAGCAGCTTCATGGGCTTCCCCATGTCCCTTCACTCGGTTCTACCTTCGGGATGCATCTCAGTTCTCACTGGCTCACCCAGTTCTGGGTATCGCACGCGACGCTGGGCCCCCTCCCCCTGACGCCACGAAGTGGAATGAAATTTATTGGATATTTCAAACTTTTTTAACAAATAAAAAACTGAATAATTGGGCGTGCAAAATTATTCAGCCCCTTTACTTTCAGTGCAGCAAACTCTCTCCAGAAGTTCAGTGAGGATCTCTGAATGATCCAATGTTGACCTAAATGACTAATGATGATAAATAGAATCCACCTGTGTGTAATCAAGTCTCCGTATAAATGCACCTGCACTGTGATAGTCTCAGAGGTCCGTTTAAAGCGCAGAGAGCATCATGAAGAACAAGGAACACACCAGGCAGGTCCGAGATACTGTTGTGGAGAAGTTTAAAGCCGGATTTGGATACAAAAAGATTTCCCAAGCTTTAAACATCCCAAGGAGCACTGTGCAAGCGATAATATTGAAATGGAAGGAGTATCAGACCACTGCAAATCTACCAAGACCTGGCCGTCCCTCTAAACTTTCAGCTCATACAAGGAGAAGACTGATCAGAGATGCAGCCAAGAGGCCCATGATCACTCTGGATGAACTGCAGAGATCTACAGCTGAGGTGGGAGACTCTGTCCATAGGACAACAATCAGTCGTATACTGCACAAATCTGGCCTTTATGGAAGAGTGGCAAGAAGAAAGCCATTTCTTAAAGATATCCATAAAAAGTGTCGTTTAAAGTTTGCCACAAGCCACCTGGGAGACACACCAAACATGTGGAAGAAGGTGCTCTGGTCAGATGAAACCAACATCGAACTTTTTGGCAACAATGCAAAACGTTATGTTTGGCGTAAAAGCAACACAGCTCATCACCCTGAACACACCATCCCCATTGTCAAACATGGTGGTGGCAGCATCATGGTTTGGGCCTGCTTTTCTTCAGCAGGGACAGGGAAGATGGTTAAAATTGGTGGGAAGATGGATGGAGCCAAATACAGGACCATTTTGGAAGGAAACCTGATGGAGTCTGCAAAAGACCTGAGACTGGGACGGAGCTTTGTCTTCCAACAAGACAATGATCCAAAACATAAAGCAAAATCTACAATGGAATGGTTCCCAAATAAACATATCCAGGTGTTAGAATGGCCAAGTCAAAGTCCAGACCTGAATCCAATCGAGAATCTGTGGAAAGAACTGAAAACTGCTGTTCACAAATGCTCTCCATCCAACCTCACTGAGCTCGAGCTGTTTTGCAAGGAGGCATGGGCAAAAATTTCAGTCTCTCGATGTGCAAAACTGATAGAGACATACCCCAAGTGACTTACAGCTGTAATCGCAGCAAAAGGTGGCGCTACAAAGTATTAACTTAAGGGGGCTGAATAATTTTGCACGCCCAATTTTTCAGTTTTTTATTTGTTAAAAAAGTTTGAAATATCCAATAAATTTCGTTCCACTTCATGATTGTGTCCCACTTGTTGTTGATTCTTCACAACAACTTACAGTTTTATATCTTTATGTTTGAAGCCTGAAATGTGGCAAAACGTCGCAAAGTTCAAGGGGGCCGAATACTTTCGCAAGGCACTGTAGCGACAGCTCTTAGAGGGCAAAGCCTATATGAAATAGAACGATGGTTACATACAGTAACCCAAGCTTCTATGAGTATAGGCGTAGCCCTCTAAGCTGACGGCCCTGCTGTCCTCACCCCCGCCAGCTGAAGAAAAAGTGCTGGTGTTTTTTAGGGAGTAGAGCTAAGGCCGCAGTGACATCTATACTACTGCTGCGGACGTAGTTGAGGACAGCCCAGTGCAGGGCACAGGGCGCGAAAGAATCTCTTCAGGACTGTGCATGGGTGAGGGATAAACCCAATAGCGACAGCTCTTAGAGGGCTACGCCTATACTCATAGAAGCTTGGGTTACTGTGTGTAACCATCATTTCCTGTTAGATCAATCATGAAGGAATTACCATAATTTCCGTACTATAAGCCGCACCCACTAAATGTAGGATGAGAAAACATGTTGTATAGCCGCATGTGTCCACGTTGTAATATGAGATATTTCGACAGCCAGATCGATCGCCTGTAACTTGAAGCAGCATCATATGCATTTCGTCGTGTGTTGTCCATGATGAGGGTGTGTACATGAAGCGACAAAAGTAGTGGCTTATAGTCCAGAAAAAGCCTTTTTTATTTAACAGAGCACAATTCAAAAGGCCAAAGGTAGATGGACACAATTAAAAAGATCATAATCAACCTGTTCCATGAGGTCTTTGACTTTATCTTGTTCACAGTCCAGGATGATGCGTCGCTCCTTACGGATCTCCAGGTCCTATAAAAAGGTGAATATTTAGCAGTGATGAAATACAAAGTCTTTATTGTTGTGTAGACATGCAGCATGAAACCTAGCTCTGCAAAGCTGTTTTCTCCTGCACCAGTTTAGTGTTCTGGTTGTGGGAGGACAGGTGCTGTAGCAAGTGTGTCATCCAGCTGCATAATGCATACTGCCCAGTTTTGTAGTCAGTGACAGACTTGAAAGATGTATCTGAGCGCTTGTACTGTTGGGTAAAAGAAGGGTTAGGGGACCAGCGCTTGTCTTCTTCTCTTTTATCCATACACCAACAACACAACACTGCTATAACAATCCCACCAACCCTGAACTATATAAAGCCCACCCAAAGGGGCATTATGGGGAATCCCTCCAGGTGGTTCATTCTGAGGGATCCCGCCAAGTGTATTTCTCACCTACTAAGCTTGAGCTGTCACTGTGATGATTAAACCTTCAAATTTGTAGTAGTGAGCATAGTGTGCCTGTTTTTATGTATCTTGGTGTTTCTGAAAATGTTTGGAATGCGTACTAAGAGTGCAGTTCTGTGTGTGAACAGAATATCAGTACCTGAAACAGGGAGCGGTAGGCTTCATCCTTCCTCTCATCTTTCAAGTCTCCTACATTTATTGCTGTGACAACCCATTTTTTCTCTGCTGCAGTGTCCAGTATTACCTGAAGAGTTGAAAGACCTACACACACACACATAACATAGTTAGTTAAATTAGAATACTTGTCTTTTTACGGTAGTGTACAGGAAATGAAAAGAGAACACTGCAGGTAAATCAAAAATACAAAACTTTTAGCATTGCTGGCATCTCAGTGTATACCATCTTGAGTTGCAGTTCTACAGCAATGTAAAGCATCATTAACTAAGATTTAGCACAAATTCAGATAAATCAAGTACAGATTGTCTAGAAGTGTTGTCTTCCTGCTGTACTAAACCCCCCACCCCATTCTGCTATCTTCAGGCCTTGTGTTTATTTCTACCACTCTGTGGCAACTATAGCTAAAACCGGCACCACACGTCTTCCACACCCTCTCTGATCCAAGGTTATAACATGCATTTTTCAGACCAGTATGGCTCATTTCAAAGACTGACTGTGGAGGCTCTCTGGGCAGGCACAACCCAGGATTAGAGCTGTTAGACCCAAGAGGCAGCATTCTGTAGCACAGAAAAAGTGCGACAAAGAATGAGCCAAAACCAGGGTAAACATCGGTTTGGCATGTCAGAGATGGAGCGCATTAAAAACATCCAAAGAAAAGTGGGGAGGTTGTTCGACTGTCAAAGCCTAACATAAAATTTCTCTTGTTTCATATACAACTCAAGGTTACCTTATAATGTTGTCTATCAAGTGTGTAACACTGAACGTGATGCAATAGTGTCCATAGCATTAGTACTGCATCAATATTACTGGGAAAAAACATTCCTCTGTATAATTTGCTTGTGTTACTGCAGATACATTCACTACAGAAAATGTTATGCATATCGCTATGCGCTATAAATGTATGCATATCGCCAAAATGTAATCCTCTTTATCTTACATTGTGTCACTGCTATGCCACCGAAAACCATGGGCTCTATGGGCTCTATATTCCATATACATTAATTCTGGAGGTGGTCATTACTGCTGCGCTACCTGACTGCTACAACTGTCTCCAGCTGTCCTGACCACATATGACCTAGTTTCACATACAGGGCAGGAGGGGCAAAAAGAAGCAGAGGGAGAAGAGGAAGGGATACTGCTTGAGGATGCTTTGATTCTCACTTCACCCTTATAGTTGCAAATTAGAAGAAGAAGTTAGTTATTCATTCATTTTTCATTTTCTACCGCTTAGTCCCTGAATGGGGTCATGCGGAGCCAATCCAGGGCCGGCAATCGGGCGAAGGCGGGGTACACCCTGGACAGACTGCCAATCCATCGTAGGCCTAACACATAGACAAACAACCACACACACACGCACTCCTATGGGCAATTTAGAGACACCAATCAACCTAAGCTGCATGTTTTTGGAATGTAGGAGGAAGCCAGAGTACCCAGAGAGAACCCATGCAAACTCCAGACAGAAAGGTCCCGGGTTGGGCCTGAACCCGGAACCTTCTCGTTGTGAGGCACCACTGCGCCACCGTGCTGCCCAGAAGTTAGTTAATACAGTGATAATACATCTGAATCTAATTTCATCTTTGCTTAGCCAATCTGAATTTATTCAAATCCCTTATCATATCTATTTATGTTCAGCTTTGTAATTGTTAAAATAACTGCAACTCTGCAACTTTCTAAGTTAATCAAAGGTGTCCCTCTCAACATTTATTATAATTATTTATATTATGGTCAGTGTGAACACACACAGCACAGTAGTAAAATCATCACATGCTCTGCTCGCCTGGCCCTCAAGGTGGACATGGTGTTGGTACCGTTTTTATGATGGTCACTGTATACTATATTTGGAAATGCGCTATTTCAAAATATTAAAGAGGTTGAGTTGGTAACTGAGCCAGCAAAGTTTGTTACACTTCCACTGTAACATTATTTCCTACATCTAAATGCTCAATTAGCCAAATATCAGAATAATTTGACAGCCAGTTAGGCTGGGCAGGCTGATTTATCATGGGTGACTACTTCTTTTACTGCTGACAATTTGGTTCAGTCAGTGATCCAGACAAGAGTCTCGGAAGCAACCATTTTATTTCATCTGTTAAAAAGGGCTAAAAAACTGTGATTCTGATCCTGATGTTTCACATGTGTAAATCTTGTTTTGTTTTAATTTGAATGTGAAGTTTTTTAACCAGCAGGTCAGTTCCAGGCTACAAATTCAGAAAAGTATGTATAGTTTAGTTTTTGTAACATCAGAAAAACAATCCCCTACTATAGGGTACGACACAAAGTCGGCTCACTCTACTTATGACATGATCCCAGACTGATTGAAGACCTCTGCAGAGAGGTAAGCCATGTAGTTGTAGAGGAAGACAAACCGGCTCGATGACACGTGTGTGAGAGGTGAAATGGGAAGTGAAGGCCCCCAGGATGCCAAAGATGGCCCCCACTATGACTATGGAGGATGAAAAAGTGACTTAATTAACAATAAATAAGTAAATGACTACATTAATGCATAAATAAATACAGGAATAAGTAAATGAAAAAATAATTAAATGCATAATTTAAAAAAATATATATTTATATGCTGAAATAAATAAATGCATTAATAAAAAGGAAAATAAATTAATAAATGCTAAAATAAATACAGAAAGTTAAATGCATAAATAAATAATTTAAATGTATTTTTAAATCGTTATATTCTACATTGCTACAATTCTAGTTTTTTTTTTATTTCTTTCTGCATTTCTACATTTCCACATTTATTTATTTCTGTATTTCTGTCTCTGTATGCTAATAAAGTGGACGGTTCTAATCCCACCCTAAAGCAGGATTGGCTGCAGGAGTTTGTTCAGTTGGGATCTGCTGCTTCCTGGTGCACATGACCGGTGCTGTTCACTTGTTACAAACCCAAAGCTGAATTTGTTTGCATTTCTGTTTTTGTTTTGTTCCACTTGTCTATGAATGGCAGATTTTTTGCAAGCAGTTGCAAATGATTTAAGATAATTAGCAAACGACTTTGACAACCATGTACTTAACGACTATTGCCAGTTTCGTACATATATTACATATTGTGACGACCGCTAGCTAGGTCGAGAGGAGCTGGCCGAGCCTGACCTATACTGAGACAGCTAACTAGCCAGCTGTGTGCCGGCACCTGGCTCAACAAGGAGGAGAACACCTTCGTTGTCTTTTTGGGTTTTATTAGAACAGAAAATACAACAAAACTGTTTTACCTGGCACCGTGTGCTCACAGGAGAAAAATGAAATACGAACTGAAAAACGGTGACACATTCCCTCTTGGCATCCCGTGTCCCGCGCCAACAGAGTCTAAACAAAACGCCCACCTGCCATCCCTTTTATCTCCTCCCGCACCTGTTCCTCCCCCCATCCCACATTGGCCAGAACAGAACACATGAACATTTACGACCGGTCAGGGTCGCCACAATATATTTTCCTTTCACAGACATATGTTCACCTTTCAGTGGAGGAATTAATATATGTATGTGTAAGTAGAATATATGCATGTGTGAGTAGAATGTGTGTATGTGTAAGTAGAATGTATGCATGTGTGAGAATATATGCATGTGAGAGTGAAAATGTAAGTATGTGAAACGTCGAGAATACATAATGTCTTATACGGCCCCTCATATGGATCAGTGTTTGATCACAGCAGCTAAATCTCTAAGTTCTGTATGTTTTAATTCTGTGTATGGATAGGCTGATAATTAGTACCCCTGCATAAGATCTGTACACAAGGTGGACACAGAACGAAGCTGTTGGTGGTAATTTAAATCAAAACAGGCACCAAGCAACGGTTGCTAAGATGTCTATGTCAGAAACATGTCTCCTTTGATGTGCGGTCAGGAACTGTGATGACGTCATTTCCGGTTTACCTACAGTTCACTTTAGTCAGACGCCCAACACTTTTGATTAGAAAGCTAAATCAGCTCGAGTTAATTATCCATTTTACCGAAGTTCACATTCGAAGTTACTGTTTTAAAGAGCAGCTAAAATGAACATAAACACACAGACTGACGATATCTTAGATTTAATGGTGGAAACGCTTCGCCCAGTGACCCAATCCATTGTCCAAACCTTGGCTGCGGAAAGGCACTTGGATGGTGATACACAAGCACGGGTGACAGACACGACTCTTCAGGTTATCCGATGCCTGAGTAAACGCTTCCATATGGCTATAACCGAGCACAGCTCTAAAGAGCAAGTGCTGTCCAGTCTGGGCAGTGTAATCCCTCAGATTATTGATCGGGGTCTTGACATCAGAACAGAGGCATTCAGCGCCGCATCCGACCCGCTGGCGAACTTGACCGCACACGAGGTTACAGACGTTGTAAACACGGTCCTCGATAGCAAAGACACGGCGGAGCCAGTCAAAGAACCGCGTGTAAGTCTGCCGGGCAAAATCTGGGCCACAATTCGCCACGTTTTACAAATGTTAAAGGCGAAACTGCAGTCCGTGTCTGACTGTTGCCGGCCATGCACTGCTACGTTCGGACAGCTGCACAGCGTGGATTCAGATTCTGAGGAGGATGAAACAAAGACCTCAGCTTCCAGTTCGACTGTATCATCAAGTCAGATTGGAAGCGAGTACACGTTAGAAGAGGACAGCTCTGACCCTGACTCTGGCGAAACTTTGAGCGAGCCGGATGGTCTCGGTGATCGCCATGTGCCACGGGAGTTGATTCTGGAGATTGTGGAGGGCATTGAGGTGCAGTCAGATGAGTCAGGTGGGGACGCGGAGGCAGAGACTGAGCCCCTTCCTTCTTATGAGGTCTTCATCGAAGTTGATATGATATCAGGGGACACTGCTAAGGTGACGCTTCAAACGGATAGTATGAGAGAGCCAGATGCTCTTGTCCAGAATTTCTCCTTCACGTGTTCCCTCAGTGACGAGCTCAGAAAGCTTAAGGTGAACATCAATGCGATCTACGCTAAAGGCTGCTTTTATGAAACCATAACAAACCTACAAAAAAGAAGCTTTAACCAGTACCGAAACCCCAGCGAGCTGCTACGTCAGATGGATCGAGCGGCCTCGGTGATTGATCAACGAGTACGCGCGGGTTGTTCGGTTTACT